CCAGGTAACAAGCTCCTTGTGGCCCAAACAGGGTTAGTGGAGGCCCCAGTTCACAGAAATCGAGGCAGAGAGAAGCTGAACAGCCGGAAACAGACTCTCATCCAGTCTCCCATTTCCCTGCTCCTCTGGCTCTGTTATCATTTCATTTAGGGATTATGGGTATTTGTTCCTTTTGCTTAATTTCCAGGATGCTTTTGAACAAATACATTTAAAATGATAATAGCAGTTACCAGTTTTATTATACACTTACCATATACTAGGCATTACACTAGATGCTTTGCATACATTCCAATTTTATCCTAACTCCAACCCTAATGGGAAGTATTATTTTCCCATTTTACAGATATGGAAACTGAGGATTGAAAAGTTAAGCAGCTTACCCAAGGAATGCAGCTAGCAAGAGACTGCTGGGCTGGGAATGGGTCTGTGCTGGTCTATTGTCTCCCATTTGGGAAGAAAACTGCTCCAAGTGAAAGGGGGACAGAGTTGTAATAGCCCAAAACTCCTCAAGAAGAAGTTTAAAATAAGAGAACCAGTGTAATATAAAATCAGCCCCAGAAAGATCTCATGGTGGGAGGAGGGGCATCTGTTGTCCTGGATTTATCAGCTCAGAGAACTATGCTTGAGTGCCTGCTTCTTTTCCTTAATTTATACAGCTGTAGCCATCCTCAAAACCTCATTCTTAAACTTGAAAATATGGTGTCACAGCTGGTAATTTTAGAAGGAGGAGGAGAGAGAGGGGAGAAAGCAAGCGTGGGCGGGAGGGCGAGGCGGCTGCAGCAGCGGGGCCCTCAGGTCTAGCCAGGACTTCCTCGGCAAGCTGCCAACTGTCCCTCTGTCCCCCCTCCCTTAGCTCCCTCCGCTTCTCAACCCAGCCGCCCTTTATGAGCGAGCCTAGGTCCACACTGAGACCCTGACCCTGAGCATCTGGGAGTAACTCGGTTCTCTCAAAGTGCATTCATAATTGAAAATGATACCTTTCCAATCACTTTCCCAAATGGAAAAGAAAGAAAAAAGACCCTTTAACTACATATTGATTTCCAAGCTGGATGTCCACGCTGGATCCAGACCTACATGTGTGAACAACAGGGGTGTATAATCAAAACGCCAGATTCCAGGCTTGCCAGCCCCAAGGAAGTCATACATGTACAAAATCTAACTCAATTTAAGCACCTTCTGTAGAAAAATCTAAAAATAAAGTGAGGCTGTCTGTGCATCCCAGACTCATCCGCAGGGAGAAACCACACACGGGTAGAGGTCCAGAGCCAAGCTGTCTGTCAACGCCTGATTTTCAGAGATGGGTGTGCATGTATCCCTTGGGTGTGGGGTGGTGGCTGGAGGTAAGCAAAGACACGGGATACCCAGAGCACCCCCACAGAAGTGCCCATTTGACTGCAAAAGTTGGGGAATAAACCAGTAAACACATTTGTGCTTCCTGCCTCCGCATGTGGATGAGATGGGATTACCAAACTCTACTGTCACCAAGATGGGAAGACGAGATATTTCTCAGATACTGAATCTGATTTGCGGTATCATTTCTACTCAAGTCGGTGGAATCGCCAAAATTCAGTAGACTCCACAGAAGTACGTTTCCCAATAATAAAGAGAGCAGAAAATTTGGTTTTGATTTGCTTTGTTCTTCTCGTGGCCACTCAAAACATTATTTTTATGTTGAAATACAATACGGTACACAATGAAAGGCATGCAGACAGTTTTAGGATAAAACACAACCTCAAAGTTTTTTAACTTGAAGCAGATCACCGTGGGGTACAGGGCAGGGGTCAGAAAGAACTCACTCTCCTCAGTCATTAAGATATTTTAGCGACACAGAGTTCAGTACTAGAAGAGAAGGACAGGCAGGTTGAAACCTCAGCCTCAGGAGAAGGCTCCACCTGAACAGAAACGGCGGCTACTCGGTTCACATCCCGCAGAAGGGTCATAGAAACGTGACAGCTACCGAGCACAGAAACGTGCCGACATCACGCTGGGATCAGTGAGCTCGGAGGGCCCTCACGGCAACTCCGCGAGGCCCTTACAGTCATGGTCCCCCCCATTCTACAGATGGGCAAACCGAGCTTGAGTATTTAACCAGGAAGGGGCAGAGCTGGGCCGTGAGTCGGAGCTGCTGCTCTGAGAGGCACCCCCACTCTTGCTCCCGATAGCTTTGCTGAAGCCTGGCCACTCGGCTTCCCCTGACTGCTGCTGAACTTCACCTTCACGTGCAACTCCCGCTCTTCCCGGATGCCCGCCCCCAGCCTTGGCCGGACTGTCTCTGCGGCCTGCCCGGATCCACAGCCCGCCTCCCTCGCGGTAAAAGGGTTCACCTGAGGTACTGAGCCTCCTCCTCAAGGCAAAGAAGGATTCCCAATGTTTAGGAGCGAGGTGGCTGGGCAGAGAGATGTGGGTCTTTGGGGTCCGCGTGGGAAGTCTTGGCCTTCTGGGTCACTGTTGCTCACTTTCAGAGCCCTGGGGGGATCTGGCGTGTGTGATATGGCCGCCACCGGCCACGTGTGGCTATTGAGCACTTGGAATGTGGCTGATCCAAACAGAGATGTTCTGTGAGTATAAAATACACGCCAGCTTTCAAAGACTCATGATGAAAACCAGAATGCAGAATATAAAATTAATCATTTTGATGTTGATTACATGTTGGAAATGATGATTTTGTAATATATAATAATAAATATGTAATACATAATAATATAAATATATAATAATAAATAAAATATATTATTATAGTTAATTTTACTTGTTTCTGCTTAGTTTTGAATGCAGCTACTAGAAAATTGAAGATTACATTTGTGGCGAATATCATGTTTCTGTTAGACAGAGCTGGTCCACACCTTCCGGAGACCTCCTTAGCATAAGCTGCAATCTGTTGGAGCTACTTTCTCAGATGTTGCTATCCTCTGGGAGGCAATCTCCCTGTAAGTCCCCTCTGGGGAGGGGAGCCAGAGGTTGCCCCAACCTGCAGACTGGAGGTGAGGGTCCATTCAGATTTCTTTCTAGAAAGCCTCAGTCAATGGGAAAGGGCCTTTTTCCCAAGAACCCAAATCACAGGAAAGGCCACCCCTCTTCCTTCCTCATTTCCTCCAAGGACCAGGCCAAAGCAGGCTTGGCAGCCAAATGAACTAAGCAGAAAAAGACTACAGTCACAAATGCAAATGCCACATGTGTAATTTAAAAACTTTTGGTAGCCGCATTAAAAACACAAATAAATAAGTAAAATTAACTTTAATAATATAGTCTAACCCAATGTATCCAACATATTGTCATTTTAACATATGAGCAGTAAAAAAATGTATTAATGATGTATTTTATATGTTTTTCATGCTAAATCTTCACCATCTGGTGTGTATTTTACACTTGTGGCATACGTCCATTCGCCTGTGACAAGTGGCTGCCAACCTGGAGATGTGGCTCTGCAGTGTCAAAGCCTACAGTCCAGCGGACCCTCAGTCAGGGCAGAGTGAACAGAAACACTCATTGCAATCCACAGTCCACTGCTCGGGAAACTGTGATCCATCACACAACTTTAGCCACTAAGATTCACGTTTGCAGAGTTTTGATGGCAGGGGGAAAGCTCTCCATGGATATTTAAATAGAAAAAAAAACAAACCAGACTTGATGATACACCAAAATAATAAATAGTAATCATTAGGTGGTGTGGTTGTGGATTTTTCTCTTTTTCTTAATACTTTCAAAAACATTTATTGAACTATTATATATCTGGCCCTGAGTTCTCCAAGAAGATAATAAAGCATTCAGGGTCATTGAATTAGGAACTAATAAATAATTTGTGAGGAGGGAGAGGATTTTTCTAGTTAGACAGAAATTTTTCCTACTCCTTAACTGGGAAAGTCATACCAGCAAGGGCTGCAGGGAATCACGTGCTAAGTCAGCAGCAGAGGCAAATGTCCAGTGCAGATTAAATTTATATCTGTCTTGGCAGCACCAGCCTGCAGCTCGCTGGCCCAGCGCTGCTAGAGTTGCCCTTATAGGGCAGGCAAGGCAGTTGGGTGCCGGTGGAGGTCCTCAGTCTCAAAAAACAGGTGATTATGCATTCTTTCAGCATGTGCAAAATATGAGTCAGGTCGTTTATAAAATGCCTATGGCTGTTTGGTAGGATACACTGGCCAGCCACAGGTACTAATTTAAAGTCCAACCCCGCCCCACCCATACACACATGTGCATATACACACACACACACACACATGCACTCATGTGCGCACACACGCACTCACGCACACACAGGCAGCGCCAGAGCAGCCAAAGGTCTAACAGTGCTGCAAAGCTTGTTCACAATGGGTATCTGTCCCAGTATCTCCATTTCCCCAGAAGGATGAAACTTCCCACAGCAGCTAGTGCAGAACCACAGATGGCATTTTACTTGGGAAAAGGTAGGCTCACACAAGAGTGAGGGGCTGGGATTCACAGTACACTTGCCACTTGTTCTTCTGGAATCTCAAGATCTTATGGAGTGTGACTGCTGTTGGTCACAGGATTAGACAACCCTGCCTCAGAGAGTAAGTTGGTATTGAACCCATTTGACTCAAGAGGTGGTATAGTAGATTAGTGGTTGTCCAGGGCTCAAGTGCATGGGGAGTTGCAGTGTGACACCTGCAGGGTGCAGGGTTTTTTGGGGGGATGATAATATTTTTAAATCGATTGTGGTCATGGTTGCACAACTCGGTGAATATACTAAAAGCCATTGAATGGTACATTTTGAATGAATGAGTTATATGATACGTGAATTCCATCTCAATAAAGCTGGATTTTTTCCCAAGGTAATAAGCTCCATTATAAAAGCAACTCACTCAATCCCTTTTATAGCAATGGAGCTTTTAGGCATCTCAGGCATGCTTTACCTGTATAAAGAATGGAAATGGCTATTTGCTTCTTTTTTATATAAGAGCTCATGCATAAGCAGTATTCTCCTTTGCAAAATATCCAGTGTGTCTTTGCTTAAGGAGGGCCTCATGATCGCCAAAGGCTGTTACCTTTTCACTGACCTTTCTGCATCTCCCACAGCTCTGGCTTCATCTGAAATGACGTCGCCTGTGACGTTTGGAGCATCCTTCTCAGGAACTGAAGGCAAGGTGCATGGGCCAGGTCCTGGGCTTTTTCTGGTAAAATGTAAAGAAAGCAATAGATGGTCAGAAGGGCATTTTCATCCATGTCCTATTGAAAAAGCCCCTTAGCCAATTAAAGTTCTCAGTGGCTACTACACCAAAATCCCTAGAAAAAAAATTCACTTCAGGAAGTCAACAATTTTAAGATACTTGTGGATCATTTAGGCCTGCTTGCATAAATAAACCCAGATTCAAAAGCAGCTGTGTCAGAACTCTAGAAAAATATGCAATTAACTACAAACTATGACACAACAGTGTACAGCCACCCAGTGAACATTTCATGCTTTTTAGTTTCACTTGGATAAATTAGGAAACACAAGAAAAGGAATAGGATGTGTGAACCAAACAGCACCCTCACCTCTGCACATTTGTCAGAATCTCAGCACATCCAGACATTGTATGTAGGTAAAGTTAAACAGATATGGAAAACTTAGCTTTTTAAAGACCAGCCCATCTATTTGGCTTTTAAAAATTGGGGTGGGAACCATTATGGAAGCTGACCCCATTTGGCTTTTAAAAATCGGGCTGAGAATCCTTTGGAAGCTGACCCCACGTCCCTGTGGGAACTTACCCTTGGAAGTACCTTTCACCATGGGGTGCTTCTGGAGCCAGGCTGTGCAGCTCCAGGTCCCGGCTTTCATCTGGTTCTGGAGGTGAGGACACTGCCACCTTCCTGTTCCCAGCAGGACCTGGGAGCTCAGGCTCACGCTGTTCCTCTGCCTGCTGGAGCCCGGCCGAGCTGTCCCCATGCCGTGCAGCCTCATCCTCCATCCTCGGAGCCCCCTCAGAGCAGCCTGGGACCCCACTGCTCCCTGGCAGCACCGAGGGCCAAGCCATGCCCGACAACATCCTCATGGTACCCGTCTCAGGCAGGTCACCCGACACATGTGCCCTGGTCTCAGCTGTACTCAAAGTGATGTCACCCTCTGCTTCTCCAGCAGCTCCTGCCGCTGGGCTGGGCTGCAGGGGAGCGCCCGCCACTGCTCCAGCCTGTGGCTCAGGGGCACTCTGGCCGCCCCGAGCATCTGGCGTGTCTGAGATCCGGGCAGCACCTCCATGCCTCTTCTCACCCCCAAGTGTGTCAGGGGTCCAGGGCTCACTGAAGGCCTCGGCCACAATTGGAACATCCCCAAGGGGAGAAGATGTTCCCAGGGCAGAGGTGCACACTGACACGCCACCCAGGGCCTCGGCCTGAGCAAAGCCCCAGGCTCCATCTTCTCCAGGTTGGCAGCTGAGGGTGGATGTTTCCTGCTGCTGTTTTCCAGGAGGAACTCTGTCGCCTTGGAGGGAGGCCCCTTCCCTGGGGCTCTGGGGAGGCACCTGTGAAGACAGACCTGAAGCGAATCCCTGACAGCCCCTGCCCTGCTGTGAGTGGGCCTGACTCCCAAGTCCTGGCCCAGCACCTCCAGCCTCCTCTGGCTTCTCATGTTCCTGCACCATCTGGGCTACACCAGTCATTTCCTTTCCCACACTGGCGCTGCGCAGGCTTTGCTTGGTGACCGGCCCCACCTGACCGGGCAGCTTCTCTGGAGCTGGAGCCTGGGGACCCACACAGGAAATCTCAGCCTCTCCAGCCAACTCTTGCTTCTTCTCCTTTGAGTCCACCCAGAGTCCAGGAGAAGGTGTGGGGAGAGGGGCAATGGCCACACCCTGAGTCCCATCTAGAAGCTTCTCTGGGCTTGGCACAATGAGGTCCTTGTCCCTCTCACTGCTCCCAGCTCTTGCCTTTTCTCCTGGTGCACCCTGGGGCCCATCGGCAGTCAGGGCTCTGAGCCCAGCCTTCTCAAAGATCTTGGTGATGTGCTCCCTGAAGTCAGGGAAGCCACTGACCGTGCTAGTCTGCTTGGAGCGCGCATGCAGACCACCCGATGTGCCTCTGCTCAGATCCTCGGGGGGTTCTACCATCCTCTCCCCAATGCTCTTTGTCCCCTTTGCTGTCTCACCCGCCATGCCCTCCTCACAGGCAGGGGGTGCTGGAATCTCATAGGGTTTGGCACCTGCTGCTTTCTCCTCCACTAGCATGTGCTCACCCTTGGTCAGAAGTGGCATCCTGTCCAGGTAGGGCATGGAGTCCACAGGTCCCTCAAGAGTGCCAGCTTTGGAGCTTCCACCACTGGCTTGTGCCCCAGTGATTTCCCTACCTGTAGCTGCTGGTTGTGGGAGGGAGGCCGGGAGGCCCAAAGACAGCTTCATGGAGGTGGCATTTTCCAAGGCAAGCAGAGGCGCCTCTGTGGGAGAAGTGCTTTCACCAGGAGCTCTGGGCCCTTGGGAGGAGAGAGCTTTCTCTCCACTGTCTTCTGCCCCTTCCCTGGGAGCAACCTCCACATGCAGGTAAGGAGGGTCAGGAGCAGCGTCTTCTGGTGGCCCAGATGGCAAGAGCCTCTCTGCGTTGGAGACAGCCTGTGCTTCAGGAATCTCTGCCATGCTCCTGCGAATCCCACCCAGCTCTCCGGCTGGTGGCAAGGCATCCTGGCAGCTGGCCGAAGGCTGCTCAGCTTGGCAGGGCTCAGCTGGGGCAGAGGTAGAAGTTTCCTCCCCAGGGGAGGGGCATTGCCCAGTATTAAGGAATCCAGCATTCAAAGCAGCTTCTCCTGCATCCTCTGGAGCTGACTGCATCCCCAGGTCCCCTCTGCCAGCGTTCCCACTGGTCTCAGCAGCTCTGCCTTGCTCCTGGGCTGATGGGAAACTTCCAAGAAGCTCTCGGGCCTCGGCATCCGAGGTGGCGGGCTGCTCCATTTCCTTCTGTGGGGCCAGCACTGGCTGCTGTCTGCCTCCCTGGGTTTCAGCACCTGACTCTCTCTCTGGGGCATCCTGGGTGGTTGTGACGCTGGGGCTGGCGGGTGCTGGAACTGGCGGGCAGTGAGCTGCATCCAGGAGAGCCACGGGCTCAGGCTGCCGAGGCGGAGTCCCCACTGTGTTCGCACTTGTCTTCTCTGTTTTACTCAAGCCCTCGAGCAGGCGCCGAGTGTCAGCGGCTTCAGAAGCTCCTACATCACCGAGACATGCTTCTTCATGCTGGCTGCTGACTTCCAGCGTATCCACCAGCTCTTGTCGGGACTTGCTTGGCCCTTGCCCAGCACAGCAATTTTCCTTTCTGTTCAAGTTACCTGCAAGAGAGGACTCTTCGGAGGTGTCTGCCGCAGGAGGCCCCACCCCGGACGGCCGGCGGTCACTGCGTGCTCCCTCTTGCCCATTCTCCCCTAGGGCAGGCAGCTCTGGGCTTACTGGTGCTGACAACTCCGACTGCTCTGTCGCAGGGCTCTCCAGAACTGAGTCCCTGGCAGCCGATCGTGTAGCATCAGACAGACTGTCTTTGGGGTGCTCCCTCTGTAGCTCCGATCTGGAAGCCTGCTCCTTTTCTCCACAAGTGGGCAAGCACGCATCCTCCTGAGGTGTCACAGGTACGTGGATTTGGGAAGAATCTGTGCCCAGCTTCTTCAAACCTGGATCACCTGGATAAGTCTCTTCCCCATTTTTACACACTCGGGTCTTCTCCCTGAGCATATCAAAGATGGATGCATCTGGGTCTGACTGGGATGGCTGGAGATGATTCTCAGAAGGTACTGAGGGCCTCTCAGGTGCAGCTACTCGTATGCAGCTATCCCCTGGGAAGGACGGGATTCCTTGCTGACTGTGCTCCAGACTGAGCGACGTGAGCCCGCTGTCCATTGCCAAGTCCTCCCCCTCAGGGGGCTGTGGCCCATCAGCCCGGGCTTCCTGTCCAGCTGCATCATGGCCCAGCCCACAAGACCAGTCTGGGGATGTCGGCAAGCCCGCCTCCTCACAGTTGTCAGGTGTCCGCGCAGATGGGTGGCTCATGGCCTTTATTTCAGATCTGCGCTCCACCTCCTGGGCTTTAGGGACAACCTCTGCAGCAGGAGTTGACAGGAAATTTGATTTCTCAGATTCCAAGGCAGGAAGAGAGTCCATTATTCCCAATCCCCCCAGGTCCTGGAGGGTGTGGGGACATTTGGTCTGCAATCTGGGCCCCTCCCAGCCAGCTCCCTCGGGAAGAACATGCTCACCAGCTCCGTCCGGCCCCGGGATCAGGATGCGACCGTTCTCATGGAGCTTGGGCAGTGAGTCAGATGCATGGGCCACTGAGCTCCGAGCTGCACCTTCTGATACAGAGCCCGGCCTGCCTGTGGGCTGGGGGCCCTCCTCACGGAGTGGCTGTGCTGAGTCTGTGCTGGGAAGGACTTGGCTCTCCACAGTGCCGTTCAGCTTTGAAATCTCATCTTTCTCCACCTCTGGGTCAGGCCTACAGCCAAGGGCCTGGGGTTGCTCTCCCTGTGGGTTTTCAGGATTCGCACTGGGCAGCTCTGGGGCTTCTTCCTGTCCTCTAGGGCTGGCCTCTGGTAGTCCACTTTCCTCATTGACCACAGCTGGGCTTTGGGGGGCCTTGGCTTCACGCTCTGGTCCCAGGGCACTTTCATCTGATGTACTGGGGAGAGGAGGGGGCAGCACCCCTTGTTGGACTTCGTGGCCTTGCTCCTTAATGGAGAGCTCTCCCCTCTCCTCCTGGGGCAAAGGGGGAGGAACCTCTCTGGGGATCCCTTCTGGATGCACTCCCGCTCTTCCAAGATCTGATGCACACTTCTCCTGTCCCCCCAACTCAGCACCTGCCAGCTCTTCAGCCGGAACTCTAAGAACTGGTATCTCAGCCCCGTGAACCATCTCCCTGGCCAGCCAGCTGGGATTTGCTGCAGCCGCAGAGGCCCAAGTGGCCGGCTGTGGACTGAGGTTTGGAGCTGGACGCACTTCCTCTGCCGGTACATGCGGGGACTGCTCAGCACTCATGAGCAGAACCCCTTCGGGCTGGTCACCTGGTGGTGCGCAGACAGCATTACCGGGCTGGGCTCCCCACCCTCTTGTCTGCGAGGAATGCTGAGCATCACTGGCATCCAGAGTCTCCTTCCTAGAGCCTCCAGCCCCTGGCGCCAGGGCAGGACGCAGTGACCCCCAGGGCAGCTCTGTGCAGGGTAGATGTGCTCCCATTTGCTGCTGGCAGATTTCCTGGGATGCAGCATTTATGTCCTCTTCTTGGGAAGCCCCTGAATTTTTCCTAGTAGAACCGCAGGGCTTGAGGAAAACCGAGTCATCAGCCAAGTCTTCAGGCATCACCTCCACTTGGCATTTTTCTCTGTCTGAGGCTCTTGGGGCTGGATCTTGCAGGATTGGGGTCTCAGTTTTTGTGGGGGACTCCTCCAGGCCAGCTGAGCTCTCCTTGCCTGGGTGGGCTGCAGCAGGGGCCTTGGGGACCACCCCCTGCCCAGACTCTGTGGGGGGAAAGCCACCTGCAGCCTCCTTCCCTGGTGACCCGAAACCACCTGGCTGGCTGACCTCCGCACATGGCTGCTCTTTCAGAGGTGCTGGTGGCCTTCCTGGCTGCTGTTCAAGGTGACTGGAGGAAGCCGCTTTATCAACCTCTTCCTTCACGCCTCCCTCTCTTCCGGCACTAGGCACGATGGTGGCCACACTGCCCCAAGCAGAGCTGTCCTCCTCAGGGACAAAGGCTGCCAGGGCCACCCCTGGGGCTTTGGGGGAAGGTTCCCTCCTGGAATGTTGAACGAGGGGCCAACCTTCAGGTGCTTCTGCCAGGCTTTCCAAGCACCCTTCTGGGGAGCCCTCAGCAAAGGGCATGGTGGCTGAGTGGCACTCCTGCTCCCAGGGGGAGGGAGGGCTGGGCAGTGGAGAGCTTTCTGGACCCCTGGCTTCCTGGGGGCACTTCCTTGGCTCAGTCACCTCTGGGCACACGGTGCACGGATCCTGGCTGGCAGCCCTCTCAGAAGCGGAGCAGGAGCCTCCACGCCCACACCTGCGAATAATGAAAACATTTTGTTTCATCAGGTCTCAGGGATGTTGAGGACGAGGCCGCATGACAGGCCAGTTCTCTCCAACCCTCTCCCCTTTAACAGCCACAAGACACACCTGCCCATGCACCTCAGTCCTCTCCATGAAGGCTGCCCCTAAGGCCACTCCTCCTATAACCACTACACATGCTCTCGTTATCCCCAAAATCGAAGCAGGGAGCCCCAAATATTCAGTTTGGGGCTTTTCATGTTGGTCAGTACTGAATAGGGAAGTATGGAAACTAATTCATAATCGTCTAAACTGCAGGAACTCCAAAAGTTTTTAGTAAGTAGAGAGTTTGAATTAGTTTAATGTGGGTTACAAAGAGATCTCAAACACTTCTGAGGATGCTTAGATGTCCAGGAAAAAAGCACAAGTGGGTAAAGTCATGCTTCAAAATAAAAAGCTATTCTTGGTAACTGTTTACTTGACTCCTCACATTCAAAGGTGGTACTGTGAGGGGCATAGCCCCCAAATCAATTCTATTTAGCTGTGGAATTTCTGAAAATGACTGATATGTAAAATTCTTGGGAGCTGAATTACCTTTATACCCATATTTGTCTTAACTTGAACATATTTTGCTGGACAATGTGTGAAGAAAAACTATGGCTCAAATTATGGACTTGCTATAGATAACTAACTACCTAGTTATTGTAAACTAGCCTATTACCTGGCATATTTTGACAGTATTTCTAATTCCGTAATATTTTATTAAATGCATTTCTAAACTTTAAAAGTAATACATGGCAGATACAAAATTTAGAAAATGTAGAAAAAATATCTCCCACATGCTTGCCACTTGAAGCGTTCTGGCGAATAACATTTTTCTCCATGTGATTTTCTACGGGATGTAATTTTTGTTATTTTTACATAGCTGTGATTCTGTATACTTGCTATGATCAAATATCTTTTGCTATCAAGAGAAATTGCTAAAGGCAAAATTAATAGGAGTATGTCTTTCCTAAGGCTTTTACCATGATGTTTAAAAGAAGATTTGTGGAATCTTCTTGTAACTGTTACATACACACACATTCACATGTTCATAGACCCACAGTGTCTTGGATATGACCAGAGGAAAGATTCTACCTGTTTCACTACCAAAACTCTAGCTTCCCATGCAAGGTGACGCATATATATTTTTAGTGAGAGATGCATACAATGGGAAGGTGAAGTACATTCCTTTTAAAAATTTAGAAATCCATGTCATGGAGTGAATTGTGTCCCCCTAAAATCCATGTGTTGAAACGCTAGCCCCCAACATGACTGTACGTGGAGAAGGGGCCTTCATGGAGTTAAAGTTTAAAAAGGTCTTAAGAGCGGAGCCCTGATGCAGTAGGACTGGGGTCCTTCCGAGAAGAGGGAGACAGCAGGAGCGGGCTCGCGCGGGGAAGACACAGCAGGAAGGACCACCTGCAGCCAAGAGGGGCCTCACCAGAAGCCACCTCTTCTGGCTCCGTAACTCGGAATTCCAGCCTCTAGAACTATTAGGAAATTAATTCTGCTGCTGAAGCCACCCTGTCTGTGGTGCTCGGTCATGGCAGTATGAGCGGACTAATGCAATGGGTATATGCACTTTACATTGAACTTTGCAATATTTTTGAGGTTCCAAATTTTCCAAAGTGAAACGTTGGGACAATGATAATGGATGAATCCACTGGAAGTAATGCTTTTGCACGGATGATCTCCATTAACCCTGAGGAGAGCCAGCCGAGGTGCTATCACGCCATTTCGTAGATGAGAATTCTGAGAACAGGTTAGGCTTGGATTCGGCGGGCGTCTCACTCCATGGGCCATGATCTTCTCACTCACTCTCTGCTGCCTCGGAGAATAAAAGCTTCCAAGGAGGGAGTCCCAAATTCATCTGTTGAAACCTGTTCCCCAGGGTGATGGTATGAGGACGTAGGGGCTCTGGGAGGTGATTAGGTAATGAGAGTGGAGCCCACATGAATGGAAGTAGTGTCCTTCTAGAAGAGACCCCAGAGGGCTCCCTCACCCCTCTGCCTTTGAGGACACAGTGAGAAGACGGCTGTCTGAAACAGGAAGGAGGCTCTCACCAGACACGGAGTCTGCTGGCCCCTTGATGCTGAGCTTCCCGGCCTCCAAAACTATGAGCAACTGACATCTGTTGCAATAGCCACTCACCCTCTCCTCTTTACCTGACCCCACTCCAGCCTCTTGCCAAGCCCCTCACCTACGAAATGTTCGTGACATCACACAACATCCTGGAAGGAGGTGTGTACGCATCATCACTACACCAGTCATCCGCATTCAAAAAGGAGATTCAATCACAGGAATAACTAGATACCTATTGCAGCTGATTTCTATTGCTGTTATAATAAATTGCCACAGAATTAGTGGCTTTAGACAGTACAAATTAATTTTCTTACAGTTCTATAGGAAAATGTCTGACACGGCTCTCACTGGGCTGATATCATGGTGTCAGGGGGCTGTGTTCCCTTCTGGAAGCCCTAGGGACCAAGGCGCTTCCTTGCTTTTCCAGAGGCTGCCCACGTCTGTGACTCACAGGCTCTTCCTCCATCTTCAAAGCCAGCAGCGCAGAATCTTCCTCCGGTCCATCTTAGATATTTACATCAATTTCAGGGATTAAGAAGAGGACATCCTTGCTGGGGGCTGGGGGCATCTAAGATGGACCGGAGAGTGAGGCAGCTACTGTCTCAACCAGATTAGCATTTTCAGACCTAAAAGCCGAGCTAATGAGGGCAAAGAAGAGAAACATCAGAGGGTAAGTTAGGTGAATCCCTCCAATCCTCAGATGGTCACGAGGGCAGCCGCACCCACGCAGAGCCCTGGCCCAGCGCTGCTGACCTGGGTGAAAACACCCGGGTGTGGGTAACGCCCTCAGCCTGGCTTCACTAAAGTACGAGGCTCAGAGGGCTCACCAACCACAGGGCTGTTGTCTCCATGGATTGTTCTGGAACTGCACCTCAGCACTCTGCATGTGGCCATTTTCCTTGTAACAAGCACTTTACATTGAACTGTGTCCCACCCATTCACTAGGGGTCACATTGTTTAGTAGTAATGAGATTGATGGTGTGCAGTTCAGAAATGAAGCGCTCCTATTGATGTCTGCTTGCTCAGGAAGCCCAGATCACAGCCTCCTCCAAACCAAGCTGCTTCTAGTCCCCGCCTCTGACTGGGGAGTGTGTGGGTTACCTTCAGGCTGGCTGAAATCACTGTTATATGGGGACAAGATGGCAAATTCACTTGATTTGGGCACCTTGAAAACTTACGGATCTTACCAGGATCAAATTCCCATTGAGTGTGAGGCACACACTCCCCCAAAGTAAGGATCTAGCTTGGTTTATTTAGCACAAGCTGATCACCAGCAATCCTTTTGACTGCCCATCAGAAGCAATTTTTAAAACCAGATTAAAGACACTCACGAGGAGCAGATTTGCCTTAGGGCAGGAAAAATTCTAAGAACTCATCTGTGAGGGCCCTGCCTTAATTGAAACTTACATAATGCCCTTTATACTTTAAGTCTGAGTCAGAATGTGTGGAGGGGGTTCTGCTCAGAATCCGAAGGCTAGCTCTTGTGGGCTGGGCAGTGTGGCCCTCTCACAGGAGGCTTGCAGTTCAAAGGTGGTTGCTGCCTTTAGGTTGAGGTCAGGAGGGCACACAGATTGCAGACCACGGCCCCCAGCATGACAGTGGGAGAAGCACAGTAGGGGGGTTACTGGGGAGCCCAGGTGATTTGCTGCCCCAAAGGTCTGAGCAGACTATGGAGAGGTAGAAAAGGTCCTCCCTACTACCTTAGCTGGACGATCGCATCCACATGGGTTTCTAAGTGCATAGTTTTGAAGACATACCCATGAACAGACTGGGGATGCTTAAAGGGAGTGAGACAGGGACCATGGATGTAGTCAGAGTAGGGTGAGGGCCTCCGGAGGGGGCAGGGCAGGATATTTGCAGTCAGAGCAATGTAACTACATGCAAAGAAACCCCCCTACTAAAACTCTGTTAAACATTGAGCTCTAGAATCATTCTTCAGTGAGATCAGTTGATGTTCCCCAGATAAAGAAGAGTAGCACATGTTTTATTATGCTAATCATTTGTAGCCATGTGTAAGATTCACTTTAGCCTAGGCCGATGTGCTGTCTTTCGTCCTTCAGATCTGATGAAGTGATTTTGCAAACTGAGCAACTAATTTAGCAAGTAAGCCCAGGCATAAACAACAGTAAAAGGCAAGAAGGATTCCACCTTAAAGATAAGATTGCATTTTAATACCCAAGAAGTTAAGATGTTAGAAATTCTTACCTTACTCTTTAGCAAACAATTCCTCAGCCCACCTTGGGGGCTGGGCAGGTGGCCTTGTTTCATATGCTCCCAGACCAAGATGCTGGTATCTCAGAGAGAAATCATCAGAGGAAGTTGCTTGTGTTAATTCTAAATATTCAGGGACCACTTACCAAGTCCACGCCCCTAAGTTTTTTTCATGTTCTCAAAAAATCCTCAACTGCCTATAAAACTCCTAGACAAAGCACCACCACGGGCTCTCTTGTCCCCTCTTGGCATGAGCCAGGAGCTCTATTCTCTCACTTTATCTCTAAATAAAAGCCTGTACCTTGCTCTCTTACCCTGAGTGTTTGTGAAACTCATTCTTCGGCTTCGTGAACAAGAACCCCGGCACCAGGAGGAAGGAGGCCGGTTGAGGAGACACCAAGCCTGGACCCCACACTAGCAGGCATTAAGGGGCCCAACACAGCCATAAAGACAGACTGTCAAGATGGGGAGTTGACAGTACTGAGCATTTACTAAGGGCAGGTGGTGCTAAGTACTTTCCAGTTACGATTGCATGTAATCCACATGGTAGCCTGGCAGAGTGAATGGCCCCCCCATGCACACATCGAGAAATATTTCAGAGAGGTTCAAGCCTGGACCTGGGGTTGCAGAGCTCCAGTTGCAGGGCAAGATCAAGCCCTGTACTGTCCAGCTCCAGGGCCC